TATATATATATATATATATATATATATATATATATATATATATATATATATATATATATATATATATATATATATATATAGGGAGGGAGGGACTGATTGGAAACTGAGGGATTCCCTATTTATGCAGGTATTCTACTACCTTGGTGAGCTAAATGATTCACTATCATACGCACTAGGTGCTGGGCCTCTGTTTAATGTATCAGAAGATTCTGATTATGTTCACACGCTTCTTGGTAACGGCCTTCTCCCTTCTGATTCATGCTTGATTTCTGTAATTGGGATTTACTTCCTTGTGAAACTATAATCTGATTGGGATTTACTTCATTGTGAAAGTATCTAGCTTTCTGATATTTCATTGTACTTATCTGCAGCCAAAGCTATAGATGAATATGCAAGTCTTCGCACAAAAGCGGCGGAGTCCCATGAAGAAGTGGCAAAGGTGGATCCTAGATTGGAGGCTATTGTTGAAAGAATGCTTGACAAGTAAGCCTGTAGTATGTTCTGTTTCTGTAATTTTCTGCTTAAGAAAATTTTAGGTTTTCTATTTACCTTGTTGCGTTGTTCAGGTGTATTTTGGACGGGAAATTTCAACAAGCCATGGGGATGGCTATTGAGTGTAGAAGATTGGATAAGTTAGAGGAAGCGATCACAAAAAGTGAGAGCGTTCATGGAACACTTGCCTACTGCATTAGTGTCTCTCATTCTTTTGTTAATCGAAGAGAATATCGGCGTGAGGTAAGGAGATCATGTCATCTTTGATTTGTCAATAGCAAATAAGGAACACACATAAGCTTGCATGAATTACGCAAGTAAGTTGATACAATTTGTGAAGTAGAATGCTAATTACATAAGCAACATATGGAAACTAAGTGGGGTGGATTTTGAGGGCCATTCATCTGAGAGAAGTCTTTATGCTAGTTTCTTGATAACTGATCTACCATTAACGCCATTCATCTGAGAGAAGTCTTTATGCTATCTTCTGGATAACTGATCGGTTGTATCTACCATTAAATTGAAGATGTGTTTGCTAAAAACTAGGGAAAAATATTTTTTTGAGAGAAAGTTGATTGTAAATACTGATTATAGTGTTCTAAAAAAACTCATGAGAAGTGGTTAGCAGCATCCCACATGGCGGGTGCGCTTTAAATCCAAGTGAAGCAAAAATGAATCCCAGGAACCCCTTATACTGTGTCAGAGAAAACAAACAAAAATGATGAAAGAGAGAGTGTATTAGGAATAGAGAAGGAAGATACCAAAAAGATAGAGGAGAAAGAGAGTGGCATCTATTTACTCAAAAAAGAAGAGTGCATCCCACATGGCTGGTGCTCAGACTTTACCTCCAAAAAAGAAGCAAAACTTAAATCCCAGGAAGCCCCTTAAAATGGGGAAATGGAGTATAAACAAAAATGAAGAAAAAGAGAGCATATGACGAAAAGAAAAGAAAGAGGCCAAAATGATAAAAACAGGAGAAAGGGACCAGAAAGAAACAGGGTTCAGTGAGACAGAGGATGATGAAGACAGAGTGTATGAGGGGGGTGGGGGAGTGGGGGGGTGTTGAAGAGGGCTGTAGATGTGGATAAGAGAAAGATAGAGTGGATGGATGTGGCTGCCCAAAACCAGGATTTGTAGGCCTCAAGACAGGAGTCATTCTTACACAGCTGAAGAGGCAGCTAGAGAACCTCTCTTAGAAGGTGTAGGGGCTGGCCCTCTCAGGGTTTTTATACCTTACAAATCTAACCACGAACGTACTTGGTCTTTGCTTTGAAGCCAATTAGATATTCTTCTGGGAAAGTGGGGGAGAGGAAAAAGGTCATAGAGAAAGACGGCACGAGAAGGTTAGAGAAAACAAGTGAACAAGTGAACAAGTGAAAGAGAACAAGTGAAAGAGAGAGAGAAAAGTGCAAGAGAGAGAGGGAGAAGGAAAACAGGTGAAAGAGAGGGAAGGAGTGAGAAGGGGGTAATGAGGGAGAGAGGAAAGGGAAAAATTAAGTGATAATGATAGTGAAGGAAAGAGACCGGAAAAGATGAGGTGGGGGAGAGTGTCTCTCTTGAAGTTTTCAGCGAGAAAAGGGGATGCCTTTTGAGGGCATCAGAGTCCCTTTGTGATGTGAGCCAGAAGGGGAGAGAAAAAGAACAAGGGAGAAGGGAAAAAGGAGAGAGAGGATGGGGAAGAGATACGAGGTGGAATAAAAGAGAGAAGGAGGAGGAAGTGGGAGGAAATAAGGTAGGGAGAGAGGAATGGATACCCACCCACCCATTGAGGGTACTCCAACTGAGACATAAAGGTCGGGAGGTGGAGGGGGGATCACTTGCGCAGCGACACTTTGGAGAGAGAGGAATTCTAAACCCTGAGCCTGTGGCTTGCCGCAGCATCAAGATCCTTAATATGGTCGAGGCTTTCCAATTCAGGGCTTATGATGGTGACTCTAATTGTAATCCGTGCTAGAATGGAGAGACCCTAAGCCTGTGGCTTGCAGCAGCATCAGGATCCCTATTATGGTCGGGGCTTTCCAATTTAGGGCTTGTAATGATTACTCTAATTGTAATCTGTGCTAGAATGGAGAGTGGCCAACCTCACAACCGCTGCTGTTGCCATTGAGCGAGGTTTGGTGAGAAGAAGTTAAGTAAAGGAGTAGATTTGAGGTTAAGGAGTAGTGGACCGAGAGCATTGAAAAAATGGTCTCAGGCTGGCTAACAATGATTAGAATGGGCACATTTTTTCTTTCCCCAATTTTGTTTTTCCCTTTTCCTGTTTTACTCTTCTCTCTTTTTTTCCCTCTTCTTTTTTTTCCTCGCTTTTTCTTATCTTAATTTTTTTTCTCCTTTTGTTTTTCCTTATTACTTTTCCACAAAAGAACAAGGGTGAGTTAGGCTGCTCGCCAATTGTAGGAGAAGAGAGAGAGGGAGAGTACACAGATGGGGATGAAGGAGGTCAAGTGTGTCTCGTGATAGGAACAGAGAGTAGAGGTCGTTGCTACTGTAGCAGAGAAGCAAAGGAGACATAGAAGGTTGGGGGTTTGTTTATTTATTTATTTTTTCCTCCTCTTTGGGGCGAGGGGAGGGGGGGGGGGGGGGGGGTTCGTGTAGTAGGACCGAGAAGAAGTAGTAGGTCGTGCTAGTGTAGACGAGAGAAGACGAAGGAGTACGAGTAGGTAAGGGTTGGGGTTAGTTAAT